GAGAACGAGAGAACACGTACGTACGCATGCAGGGCAGCTCTGCCTAATCCGTCCACGTGTGCTCTGCTGGCACAGAGGTGGCTCTAGGGAGTGGAGGCTGCTCTGCCGGGACGCTCCAGTTCTGAGCCTGTGAGGCCACGTTGGTCTGTTTCAGACCTGAGGAACAGGGCTGGGATGAGCCAGGAGAAACCCAGGCCATTACCCATTCAGGTTAGAGAATAGCTGCACACACAACACACACTCCTTACTTGGGTTGTGTTGCAACCTCTCAGGACCTAGGAATGTGGAGGCTGACTGAGAAAAACAGTATTTAAGTTGATGTCAATTTTGAACTTGGAAGCACCCCGGGGGTGGTAAGGTGCTGAGTAAGTATGCGGAGATCGCTCCTGATCCAGTTTACCACAGGTGTTCTCTCAGAATCTCCGCGTCCTTCAGGGGTCAAGACATGTCTGCCCTTCCACCTAGGAGGAAGTGAGTCACCCAGTTCATACGAACCTTAAGTTAGGCCAGGCGCTTCTTCCCCTCAGTTGTGGCAATGTCATGCTTTTCATATTTGTGTCCTTGGTGCAATATGGCATGACTGCTATGGTTGGCCTCCTCAGGTTGACAAAAATTTTCAGCATTCTCTCTTCTTTCTCTGTCGCTCTGTCTGTCCGTGTCTGTTTGTGTGTCTGTCTCTGTCTCATTGTCTTGACAGCACCCACCTGCTCTATTTGTAACACTGCTATTTTGCTTCTGTTTTTTGTAGTTTGAACTTAGGTCTTTCTAAACTTTTTTATTTTTTTTTATTTTTATTTTTATTTTTTTTGCGGAACCGGGGATTGAACTCAGACACTTGGGCTTGCCAGGCAAGTGCTTATTCTACTGAGCCATCTCCCTGGCCCCCTTTCTAAACATTTTTAAGGATTAAAACATGTTCTTAATTTATTAATGGCTTTGGAAAAACTGTGGTACTTTTTTATTTTTTAAATAACTTAAAAAACTCTGGCCAGGCATAGAGGCACACACCTGTAATTCCAGCTGCTTGGGAAGCTGAGGCAGGAGTGTCTCAAGTTCAAGGCCAGCCCAATTCCAGGTAACTTAGCGAGACCCTGTTTCAAAATTAAAAAATAGGGCTGTCCAAATAGCTCAGCGGATTAAAGCGCTGGGGGTTTGATCCCCAGGCCTGCCATTCTGGCCCCGCCTCTGGGGTACACTAAGACGGCAACTGAGACTGGGTATGGTGGCATGCACCTGCAATCTCAGCTCTTGGGAGGCTGAAAACAGGTGGAACACTATGAGTCTGATCTAGTAGTGAGACTTTGACCACCCTGTAGACCTTTCCCTAAAAATAACAAAAGCAAAAACAAAATTAAAAAATAAAATGGGCTGGGAATGTAGCTCAATGATAGCATGTTCCTGGATTAGTGTCTCTCCCCCCCACCCCCCCATGCCCCATAATAGAAGTAAAGTAAAAACTAAAAGAAATTTTTGGGAAGACTTAACTCACATGAGGGGCCGGGGAGATAGCTCAGTGGAATAAGCGCTTCCCTGGCAAGCACAAGGGCCTGAGTTCAACCCCGTTTCTGCCAAAAAAAAAAAAAAAAAAAATTAAAAAACAAAACAAACTTACATGAAAGTTGCAGAGTTCTAGAGATTTGCATGGTCTTCCTTTCTGTCTCATTCTTTCGTCTCCTTCATTCTTTTTCTCTCGCCCCTATTCTCTTACCCCCATTCTCACTCACCCATTGCTGAACCATGTGATGCAAGTTGCATGCATCGTGACCGTCAGCCCTGAGTACAGTAGCATGCATATCCGACAGAACCAGACTTGTAATAAAACAATGAGTTTTAAGTTATCCTAATATACATTTTTATGCAGGCTTTTCTGGTTGTGTCTTTACTGTCTCCTATCACACTGAAAAGAAAAATCCATTACTTAAAAAATTGCTCTTGCCATGTACATGGCCTTCTTCGTCTGTCACAGCTAATCTGATGCCTTTCTTAGTCTTTCATGGAATGACAGTTTTAAGAGGGAAGGCTAGTTGCTTTGTGAACCACTCTTTGTTTGGAGTTTCTTTTCTTTTTCTCCATGGGGCATTACATCAGGAGGCACATGATGTCTGTTTGTCCCATGATGGGTGATGTGGAATTTTGATCGTTTGGTAAAAGTGGTATTTGTCAGGTTTCCTCTGAGTGTTACAGTTTTCTTATTATAATGAGAAAGATCCTGAGGGAGGTAATCTAAGTCTGTGTAAATGTCCTGTTTCTCATCAAAGTTTTACCTTCTGATTTTAAAGTTTTTTAAATGATTCTCACCTGAATCCGGTTTGAACATAGTGGTTATGTGATAGCAATACTTAATTCTTAAATTGATGGTTATTTGGATTAAATCTTCTATATGGCTTTACTTTTTGGTTTTAAAGATGAGGTATCACTGTGAAAGCGCTTAGCAGAGGATACTCTTGAGTAGATTTGATGTACTATTTATGTAGAAACTTTGGTTCATTGTACAAATGCAGATATGTTCAAATGGAAAATCCCATGATTCCTCCCATAGAATGCTTTGTGGGTAGCTTTGCATTTGGATATTGCAGCTGTGCAGGGTGAGCGGGCAAACTAGCTGGTTGTGTCCGATTGGTGTCCACAAAGTGTTAGCCAACCAAAATATTGTTCTGACCCAGAGTGTTGTGCTATGGGCAGAGATGTTCTTTTGTTTTTTATTCAAGAGGCAAGAGAATAAGCAAACAGAAGTGTACATGTCCTGCAGCAGCCACCCTTTGGGACCGATGTGGCTGAGGAGTCCTCCAGGGATGGAGCCCTTGCCCTGTGGCTTCTCCTCTAGATCCCCAGTCTCCCCCAGTTGTCTCTGGGACCTTGTAAATGTGCCTCTTTCCCTTCTTCCATCTAAAACCTACCCAGAAGGAGGGATCTGGTGTGAGTTATGATACAAATATGTTTCTTAAAAATATTCCACTTTCCAAGCAATGTTTAACAGCATTTAAAGTCTTAAGTTACAGGAAATCAGCTTTAACTAGAAGACGTGGCAGCAGTGGCTCTTCTGTAGGGGAACACAGGACCAAGAATTCTGTCCTGTGTGACATCACAGCTCCTGGGCGCATGAGGCTTCTTGCCTCTAGCTGTGCTGGCCTGCACGCTAGTAGGTACATCGAGAGAGACAGGTAGGAAGAGGGGCAGATGAGTCAGTAGAAAGGATGGATACTCTCTCCCCATCACCACTTTGACAAAATCCATGTTTCTGCTGGAATATAATAAGCCAAGGGGTCTTTCATTTGAGTCTCTTCTTTTTATATCTATATATATCTATTTATGCCTACTGGGGAGACCCTTGAGTACTTTATTATACATCAACTTTCTTATGCCAGTTTTGGATCTGTGTCAACTGGCTTGAGAGGTGAACGTCAGCTGAATTGCTTGTCACCAGCTAATCTCAGGAATATACAGAAAGAAAAGCAAGGTATTCTTGTTGCCATGATGTAGGAATGGGACAGCACCTTGTTTGGGGGAATGAGGTCAGCTGTGCGTGACGAAGCCTGACACGTAGTGGGCATAACCAGGTATGGGGCTCATGGGACATGTCTCTGTCCTGTGCATAGACGAGGTGGCCCAGGGTTACTTCTGTGGCCCCCAGCCTTTTAGGAACCCAGACTCCCCACAAGCACCCCCACGGCCCCTCCTGACCTCACCGCTTCATTTTCCAGGTGTGAAGGAGGAGCAGAATGAAGGGAAGAGGACAGTAGGGCCAGTGCCACATCCTTTTCAGAAGCTTTCTCGGAATGCTGACTCCGCCCACCTAGTTTATTCCCCCAAGTTCTTAACGCGGCAGCGCTTTACAGGGCTTCTGCTTGGGTGCTGCCACTGTGCCCAGGGAACAGGGCTGCATGGAGCTCACAGACGAAGGCTGAGAAATGCAACAGAAAAAAGTGTGCCTTGAGCAAAATAGGGTGCTCCTCTTAGGAGCGGGGAGATGTTCTATAGGAAACTGGTGTCACTTCCCAT